AATGGCAAAAAATATGATTGCTGAGGCGGAATTCAGCTTTTATGTCATTTCAAGTTCAATATTATTAGTGCTCCAATTTCTTTATACGATATTTTTATTGTTCTCTCTCTGAAGTGTTAGCCCATTCTACTCACAAATTGCTTTAGTATTGTAATTCCAAGGCTTATGTACATTTTTTAATTTTTACATTTGACCTAACTGACATGGAATTTGCAACATCGGACCATTTTATATTTCTTCTTGATTTATCTCCAGTTTGCGACCCTGTCAGAAGTTGTGATAGGACGAGGGCGAGACTAGAGTGTAGGAAATGGATAGAGGGGCCAGGACAAAACGAGGACTCGCCAGAAAGTTGGTCGAGGGATTGACTTCACTTGTCTCTCAAGCATTGTAGCTTGGTTGCTAAGACTGGCAAGACTAACTTATGATGCAGCCTACGATGCCGGCAAAAGGTCTAGGAATGTACCAAATTCACGGTCCGACTCTAGAAATTAGCATGCATTCTATGGACTCCGGACAATATGACCAAGTTGCGAAACCAAGGTCACACAACTTTTATATAACGAAAGGAAACCGCGACCATTCTGGTCTTCATGCCTTCCATGTCTGGTCGCCTCCTACCTCTCGAGTGGATTTCTACCCTATTCGACTATAAAACCAAATTTCAAAGCCCACCTAATTATCCTAAAATCTAGGACAAAAGGATAAGCTAGCTCGAAGCATGAAATGTGCAGAATTTCAGTAAAGATTAGAATATGCGATAACTAAGTAATATGGAAGCCAAAAACGGATGTAATGAAGAAGAAAGCGGTTAGGGCTATTGGTTTCACGAATGAAACAGCCACTCGTATGACGTCAAGTAAATCCAGTGAAACTTCTGGCCCTACATTTGGACTTGGTCCAGAAGAGGTACATTTGGATGTAAGTAGGTTTCGAAGCTATCATAGAACGTAGATATGAAGACCTTTTGTTTGGTTGCAATCTCGACCTTTATTCCGCAACTTGTTCGGAGCGTGAGAGAGACCTTGTGGAACAAAGCTGGTCCTGTGTCATCTGCCATAGTATTCGTGATTTCCAGCATCCGACTATTGACTTTTGGTATATTCCCCAGCGTTTCGCCGGCACCGTATACGGCATCGTCATTAGAACAGAGTTACAACTTACCAACCTGGATAAGAATACCTTTTGAGAAAGCAATAGAAAAGTCAGTTCTACTTATATCATTGTGGGAAAATTCAATTACTAGTCCTTCATTATCTTAAACGAAATAGGGTGAAACCAATACATATATTTGTTAAGATAGCTAAAGAACTAATAGCTGTGACTTTCCCACAATTATAAAAGTAGAAGTGGGTTGACCTCGTTGTCAGGGCGAATTGGTAGAACTCATCTTGTACGAAGTCTTCTGTCATAATAGTTGTCATAACTCCCAGAATCAGACCGTGGACTTGATACATTCTCAGACATTTCGCCAGCATCGTAGTAGGTATCATCAGTGAGTGTTGCCATTCTCCGCACCAAGCTACGAACTCGTCAAAGAGACGAGGGAAGTCAATCCCTCGACACACTCACTCCTCTTTCTATCCTGGCCCATCTATCAACTCTTTTCCCGCAGGTGCCGCATGCGATGCAGCAAACTCCCGAACATTCCCATTTGTCCACCCCATCCTGTTGCATCGGTAGACTTGTGATGTTTCTTTCATGGCCACCCGAATATTCCATTTCCTCAATATTGGCCGTAGTTTCTGAGTTCATTCGCAGGATTGCAAGCGCATCCACTTTCGTAAATCCTGCTCTGTCCTTACTGTTCTGTCATAGTCCCCGTTCTGCCATCGGATTTTCTTTGTATTACTTCGCCTGGGTTGCTGTTGCCGAGGCATAGCCCGGTCGATTTGTCCACCTCCTCGTCCCAGAATTCCAGATCCGTTAAGCGTAGGCTTCGGATGAGCATGCTCCTCATTATTCCCATCTTTAGCCTGTAATTGGGATGGGACTAGAAATGGACTATCCGCCCGGAATATGACTTATTTCTAAACAATATCTTTTTGAAAAAGGTTCTTTTGTCTAGGATGGACTGGAGCTTCAACTTCGCAGAAGTTGCATCAGCAGATCCGGATAAATTATGTACCAGGGGATGAGAATCTCGGCGAACTGACATCTTCGTCTACACACCCACAACTGTCAGTGGGTCACAGAACAGATGGGACCTTCAAGGCAAGCTAGAATTCGCCATTGCAATCGACAGCGCTGCCTAATTTCGATGTGAGTAGGTTTCGAGACTATTGGTACTTCGTGAGTAAGGAAAATCTCAACTATCAACTC